ACAGTAAGTGCTCAATAAATGTTTTTGTTCAATGATTCGCCATCCCAATTCATCTTCCACACCACAGCCTCAGTCACTCCCTCTCTTGTTCCAAAAGCTCCCTTTCATCTGAAGAATAATATACAAATTTTTGAATAAAATTCAAGTTCTTCATAAAATGACCCCAAACTACTTCTTTTCAACTTCATATTCTACAACCACCAAACTCTTTTACATAGCTAGGCTCTCGTCACCCTAGAGCTGATTATTTTTATCACATCTGAGCTTTGGTGACATTCGCTCTTCCCAGAACGACCCTTAACCAATCTTTCACCTCTCTATCTATAGATCTCCTCCACCTTCCTGAACTCTCTGTAACAAGGGTGGACAGGCATTCATGCTGGTCTAGTTCACCAATGGACCTCCATGTGTAACAAATATTAGGTCCCTAATAAATGTTTGCTGAATGAAAATGTGTGTGTGTGTGTGTATGTGTGTGTGTGTGTGTGTGTGCAAGAGAGAGAGAGAGAGAGGTTGATTTCTCTGATCTTCTAGGTCAAACTGACCCCTTCCACCCCTGGCTTCCACCTCATTGTGCTTATACCTCTTATGTCAAAATATATTTTGGCAATAAGTGATAGTTCTTTCTGTACATTTCATGATATACTCCCGGGGAGACCATCAGGTCCTTGGGGGCAAACACTGTGACGTATATATCCTTCTATCTGCAGGGTTCCTACCATACTCCATGTTAGGTACTCAATAAATGTTTGTTTGAAATTTCAAGTCTCCTACTTCAAATTCTTGGGCATCAAACTATGCCAGTTCATTTTCTTCTTTCTAGGTTATAAAGGAATGTATGTAAATAAAGCTAGACCTAGATCTATGTGGTCTTCCCTGAGTATATGGGTATAAAATTTCTAAGACAAAATGGATTTAGAAAAAAGATGTAAAAGAATGATTCAATTAAATGAGCTTTACAGACCCATCCCACTCTGAAGTTGGTGATTCTGGGTTAAGGGGTAAGGTTAGTCTCCTCTGCCATGTCCATATTCCTTCCAGAACTGTTTGGCTATCTCCTCCCTGCAAAATGGGCAAGTACGTGCGTACACACACACACACTGTGCACGCAGAAAGGTCCTATGACAGTGAGCAGTCATGTCCACCTCACACGTGACATCAGTCGAGGATCCAGTTGAGTCTTTTAAATTCTGGTCTACTTTCTTTTTCCTTATTTTTCATCACTTGTTTTTAAGGGCTTATTTTAAGTGCAGTTATAATGTTTTCTTTGGAACTGATGAAACTCCCTTCTTTCATTAACTAGGAGAATGCCCATGATTCCAGAACAAATAGATATAGTTTTAAGGGACAGATATTTAAGCAAATAATTCCTCTTTCTATCTTTAGCCCCCTACACAGTGCCTACCACATAGTCAGCACCCAGTGAATGCTTGTTGAATGAATGAAGTCAAGACTGCAAGGAATGCAGTCATGAAAAGACTCCCGAACCTTAAATTCAACACTTAATCAAGGAAGCATTCTCCTCCTATTCCTTAGAAAAGTACATATTATCCTGTGGGGCCACAGGATGGGTCTAAACTGATCTCCTCCTAAAAGGAACTCAGAAGAAGAAAGTAAAGCCACTGTCTTCCATGAATTTTACTCAAAAAAAAAAAAGATGATGGGGGCTGGCCCTGTGGTGCAAGCGGTTAAGTGCCCGTGCTCCGCTGCAGCGGTCCAGGTTTCCCCGGTTCGGATCCTGGACGCGCACCCACGCACCGCTTGTTAAGCCATGCTGTGGCGGCGTCCCATATAAAGTAGAGGAAGATGGGCAGGGAGGTTAGTCCAGGGCCAGTCTTCCTCAGCAAAAAAAAAGAGGAGGGTTGGCATTGGATGTTAGCTCAGGGCTGGTCTTCCTCACCAAAAAAAAAAAAAAACGATGAAAATTAACTTATAAGTTACTTCTAGTAAATCAAGTCTTGTCTCCTCCTAAACTTATAATTATGAAGGAAAGTACAATAACATTTTACTGCAAAGAGATTTAGTAATTCTGGCAGTACTTCATTAATCACTTAATCAGTGTTCAAGCAGAACTGATATCCTTGACGGATATAATCAATCTCGATTCTTCTTACATTTGATTTTCATCCCTTTTGAAATCTGACTACTGACACTAAGGATTGGTGGCTTATTTTCACATTATGTTTTTGTTACAGACAGCCCATATGTGTATAATAATAATCAGAATATTGGTACCTATATTGGGTCTCCTCATAGTCTATTTGAAAATAATTGTTTTCTCTTCAGTGAATTTATGGAGATTAATGGTGCTAGGACCAGATTCTATAATAGCTTAATGGAAAAATGGGATTGGGCCACTTTTTAGCTGAGTACAACATAGTACAGTTTTGAAGATGGCATGTTTATTGTTATTGGTAAGCCAGAGCTACTTGTTTATGATGCATTCTGAAGAACTTATCCAAAGCTACATTCTAAAGGCAGCTGGGCATGGAAATCGAATAGCACCCCACAGCTGAGCAGTGTGGGATTGAGTCTGTCTAATATCTTCTGCTTTGGAAAGGTATTTTTATGATCACTGATGTGACTTCAGAAGTTCTGATTCTATCACTCCTTTTCTCTTAACACTTAATAATTTGGATGTTTAAAAACATTGTTTATTCACCCCAAACTTTAGTGATATATAATTTTCATGTACACTTACTCACAGACCACCCATTCACCCATCCATACACTACTTATCAACATCATGTATTTTTCTTTCCTATCAGAGAGCTACAGTATAGACTTTACAGGTAGCTAGTGTGGAAGATGAACCGATGAAGACTCATAATTCATAATTACACATATATCTGAACAAATGAGACAAGGATTGTGTTATCTTGTTGTTGTTATCTTGTTTCCTCCATCAAAGGTGGTAGCGTGGTATTTCAGAATTGTTTAAAACTAAAAAGCTTTTGTGTGCTGCAGAAGCTAAAGTAAAAATGAGCTTTTGTGCTAATGATAGAAGAGAAGTCTGTGGGGTGTGCTCAAATTAGCACTCTACAGGTGTTCAATCAGGTGTACAGCTGGATCTACAGATCAAGAATCAGGAAGCCAGAGGGATAATAATAACAACAACTCACATTTACTGAGGCCTTCCCTTGCCAAGGTGGGGCGTAGTGTGCTTTGCATGGCCTATTTAATGGAATACTCAGCATCCCCATGAGGTCAGTATCATCCACAGTCCCAGTTCAAAGAGGAAAGGCGAGGCTCACAGAGATCAAGAAATTTGCCCAAAGCTACAAAGCCAGTCTTTGGCAGGTCTGCCTGATTCCAGAGCTCTCAACCACTAGCCAAGTAGTCTACTCACCTATCTTAGTGTATAAACTGAAGCCCAGAGGGCTGAGGTCCAGCCAGTAAGTTGCAGAGTTGGATATACTTGAACATATATATTAGATAGATGCAAAACTATAGAATAATTGGGGTAAAATAATTATCCTTTAGTGAAAAATTAATGGAACTCTGGTCTAGCTAGAAAGTAATTAGTAGATTACAATAGAAATTAAGGTTAACATTCTACCCAGTCACAAAAAGGAGAGTTGGAGAGGAGGTTGAATATCAAAGTCCACATCTCATTGGCTAATGGTAGATTTGATCTTGAATGACTATTACTAATAAGCATACGGACATGGGCTTCATTAGGAAAATAAATTTCTTGATCTAAATGAAATCTCCCTTAAACTATTCATTCTCTCCTCCCCCCAACACACACTCCCTTCTGTTTTGCTCTGATGTATGGTGATCAAAGCAATTTTATGACAACTAATTCAACTCCTCAAATATATAGTTATAAGTATGGTTTTCAATTGTTAAATGAAGTACAGTTTTCATTAATACATTGACAATCTTTTTTTAACAGTGTCTTAAGTGATTTTGGTTACCGTAAATCAGTTCTTCTCAGCCCGAGTAACTTCGGGGGGAAAGAAAAGAACTTTTACCAAAATGAAGCATTGTTCTTATGCACCAATATGTGAGGAGGCTTGTTCTGCACTGTTCTGAATCTCTAGGCCTCTGCCTGTCCCTGCTGTGCCCCTACCACACAACACGACTTGACCTAGAGTGCAGCCATTTTAAGGAAGCCTTAAATGTCCCTTCAGACTTTTGAAGAATGGACAAGAAGTAAAATATAAGAGGAGAGCCTAGCTAATGAGAGAACAGAAGAGCTCTTGGACCTGACCAGACCTTCTGAGGCGAGCAACTTCAGCAACTATAGACCCAAGCAGCTGCTGCCAGAGTGTTTAATCAACATCAAGCATTTACTGAACTTCTGCCATGTGCTCAGTACACTCCGTGCTTAGACTAAAGAATTTTGACATGATTTCCACCTTCGAAAAACCTGTGGGAGGACAAGTTCATAACTGTTGTGTAATAGGCGCCTTCCAGGCCAGCAACGTGAGGTAAAGTTGGGTAGCAGGCAGGTAGAAGCATTGTTTCTCACCAGCATCACAGCATCACATCTTGTATCAAGACACAAAGCAGCACTTCACTTCTATCCTTTGCATTTTCCACAGGAATTTGATAGTATAAATTTTTTTTCCAGTGGCTCTTAATTCAGCTGCCATGTTCTTAACATTCAGGCACTTGTCTGAAGAAAACCAAAGTGTCACCATACCTCTGGGCACCCAATGTCCCTCCCCTCTAACTCTGAATATCATGACCAATCCCTGCTCTCTATCCAGTTGTGACAAGCTCCTTCTTTGTTAGTACCATTCCTGAGTGGATCGATACCTAAGATGCAGGTCTTCGATCAGAGGTATCCCATTAGATCCAAGAAGTCCATTTATGCTTCTGTTTTGTGCAAATAAAGCCCTCCTGGTGGACCACACCCATCAACTCCAGATCTGTTCAAAATGGCTGTCGACTATGACATATCACAGCTTAGACATGCACACTGGGATCCTTTGACACTGGTTAATTCTATGTGGAAATTCCATACCATATCTCCTATTTTCCTGTTTCAGGTAAAGGAATATTCGTTATCCAAAGTGAGAGCCTCAAGAAATGCATTCAAGCCGGCAAATCTGTACTGACCCTGGAGAACTGCAAACAGCCGAGCAAGTACATGCTGTGGAAATGGGTTTCAAACCACCGCCTCTTTAACATAGGAGGCGGCAGTTGCCTGGGCCTGAATTTATCTAATCCAGAGCAGCCATTAAGCTTATATGAGTGTGATTCCACCGTCGTTTCCTTGAGATGGCACTGTAACAGGAAGATGATCAGCGGCCCGCTCCAGTACATGGTCCAAGTGGACCCTGACAACACGCTCGTGGCCTCACGGAAATATCTTCATAAGTGGATTTCCTACATGTCAGGCAATGGAGGCATTTGTGAATATCTGCACAAAGGTAAGAAAAATTTAAACCAGAGTACTCCTGAAATGATATATTTAGAAAGATGCCCATAAGTAAAGATTTGTAAAATATATTATATGAAAGAAGTACACAGCATCCGGAACCTCAAGGGACTTCTGCTAAATACATTTTAGTTGCTTACTCACTTATTGTGAAGCATTACCAGAGTCTTGGAATGTACTTGCTAAATTCTTCTAAAGAAGCAGAACTTCTCAGAATCTAAAGAGAAAACACTTAACTTTGGGAATCAATGGAAAGGAGGAGAAAGAACAGGAGGACAAGAGGGGGAGAGACAATGAAGGTGGAAGGAAAAGATCTTTGAAGGTAAAGACTTGTCAGGACAAATATTAAGAACCTCTCTTGCCACCATTTCTCTTATTGTGAAAACTCAGTCCCGTGTATGGAGCGTGTGTGGAGGACACCTCCATGCCTCCTAATGCCCGGCTGGCATCCATGTGATGGCCATGTTGTTACAAGGCATTTAAAGACAGACTATTTTCAGGGGTTATTTAGTGTGTGCCAGGGAGTGAGACAGCGTGGTTTTGGGGAGGAAGGGGTGCTTTCCTTTTGCATAGTTCTGTAATATTTGGCTTCTTTTTTTTTTTTCTTTTGGTGAGGAAGATCAGCCCTCAGCTAACATCTGTTGCCAGTCTTCCTCTTTTTGCTTGAGGAAGATTGTCCCTGAGCTAACATCCATGCCAGTCTTCCTCTATTTTTGTATATGGGACGCCACCACAGCATGGCTTGATGAACAGTGTGTAGGTCCACACCTGGGGTCCGAATCCTCAAACCCTAGGCCGCCAAAGCAGAGTACACGAACTTAACCATTACGCACTGGGCCTGCCCTGGCATTTTTAAACAGAAAAAAAAAAAAACCAGTAAAAGAAAGAAAGCAGCATAGTTAAACTCTGAAACCGCAAACCTTTTGTCAAGTTTTGTTTTGCAGCTATCTTCATTCCTTCATCCATCCGTTCATCATCTATCACACATTTATTGGGCCCTGACTGTTTCTCAGGCACAATGCCAGGCGTTTGATGTACAAAGACCAACAAGATAGATGTGGTCCCTGCCCTCATCGTGCTCTGTAGAGGCTTGCCTTAATAAGAGCATATCTTTCTAAGAACTCTATACCAGTCCTAGGGAGCAGAGCAAGGAACTCCTAAGATCCAAGGCAGGACTTTTTCCTGTACCTAAAAGAAATGGGTAAAAAGATACAGAGTCAAGAGCAAGCCATTTTCAGGACTCACTACAATAAAGCAAGGGCTACAAACCAGCACTCTGAATAATCTACAGTTCTAAGGAAGAACTTGACATTTTGTTTAATGCTAACCTTTTAGCCCTATAACCACACTCACAATGTCTTCAGGGGAAGCCTGAGTAGAAGGCAGGGGATTGAAACCTCAAGATGTGTCCTGAAATACCTAACCTCTGGGGCTAATGATGTGAGCTCAGTCCAGCCCCTGCTAATTGTGGGAAAGGGGTGGGAATCTCCACAGCCCATCCTTTCACTCTGGGACCTATTTACTTAGTTGAGGGTGGCCCTGATCCCCTTTCATAGAAAGCCCCAGTTGAGTCGTGAAAAGTTGTTGTTGTTTCCTGCTTAAGGCCAAGGATGACCGATTATTGAAATACTCTGAGAAAGCCAACCAGCAGGCCACCTCAGCACTGTCCTGTCTCTCCTACACTACTGTAGAGGCCTCCCCGCTAGTCATCCCATTTCACCCTCTCCCTGTGTAGGCTCTGTTCACCACACTGCATCCCGAGTGAGTCTTTAAAAATAGAAATCTGATCAGAGTACTTGCCTGATTCCACCCCCTCGTCGCGTCTCCTTGCTCTCCCTCATTCACCCCACACACGTTCTTGTCACAGGTCCCTCGTATTCACTGTTCCTTCTGCCAGAACAACACCTTTCTGAAGATGTGCTCCCTCGCTTCACCCATTTCTTATTCAGAGAGGCCTTCCCTAACCACCCTATACAAAATAGCGCTCCTCCACCCCTCACACACACACAGTCATTCCATCTTCTTACCCTGTTTTGTTCTTCATCATGGTACTTATCACTACCTGAAATTATACGTTTACTCGCATATTTGCTTTCTCTTTCTCTCTCCCACTAGAACAGGAGCTCCCTATGAAAGGTTTGTTCACTATTATATCCCCAGTGCTGGGCACATTAAGTGCTCAATAGATATCTGTTGAATGAATACATTAATAAATCCTATAAAACTCTTGAGGTACAGATGCTGATGGCTGATGTATTTGGGGGTTGGAAGATATTTTAACGTAAAATCTCCATTTAATTTTCTTTTGCATTCATTCACATATATGTATGCTACTGTAGCCGTGCACCATAGTGAATAAACAAGTAGATAACTACATAAACAAACCATTTATCAGCACCTCCTCTGACCCCAGCACTCAGCCTTGCACTTTTACATACACTAGACAGTGAGTTCCTGAGGATTCGCTGTGGTAGAGCTAGGGCCTGGCCCATTGCAGGTTTTCAGTTGACAAAAATGCATTTCCTATATGACAGTTTCCAATGATAAAGCTGACATAATACTTACTTGATTTTGTCCTTTTCTTTCTCCTAGATTTGTATACAATTAAAGGGAATGCCCATGGGACACCATGCATGTTTCCCTTCCAGTATAACCATCAGTGGCATCATGAATGTATCCGGGAAGGGCGGGAAGACGACTTACTGTGGTGTGCCACGACAAGCCGATATGAAAGAGATGAGAAGTGGGGATTTTGCCCAGATCCCAGTAAGAATAAAATCTAGTCTTCCCCATATGTCATGAATGAATCAAGGATGATTAGAAAGTTATCTGTGTCTAAAGAAAAGAACTGGGATTGATATATTGAAGTCTGAATAAGCACTCTGATTCCATTTATCCAGATTTTGATTTTGTGTTTGTTTTTGCCTTGAAAAGACAATCCTGATGTATATTCCTTTTTTCTCTTACATTCAAAAGATGTTAATTAGCCATTCTTCATTAAGCTCAGTGCATAAGGATGCTTTAACTGGAATCAAATCATAATACTCTGTGATCTCGTTAATCCCAGCTTCCGGGCAGAATACTTCAAAACAAACCTGAACGCGTATGAAGCTCAGTTATCATTTTAGTCCACTTCCTCTTATGAGCTGCCTTAATTTTTCCACGTCCAGGCCGCTTGTCTTGCCCATTGTCAAGCCCAGGCATCAGCTAGACACTTGATGATCTTTCTAAAATCACAGTTGCCCTCATTATTTCTCGACGATAAGTTTTCATCTTGATTCCCTTTCCTTAGTACTCGAGTTCCAGGTACAACCTCAAAATCTTTTTCTCTTCTTAACTTGATTTTCAAGGTCCAGTGACAGCTGCGATGTTCTAACCTTTTTTTTCAGTTAGTACTTTATTATTTTATTTTATTTTATTTTTATTTAGCTAAAACGTTTCCAATGGTTCCTAAGTATTGGGGAATATTTATATATACCTTCTACTTCCTATATTCATTTTCCTTCACCTTGGTTCCTGCGAGTCAGAGAGTATAGCTTTTACAATCTCCTCATCCTCCATGCCTACCTCCCCTCCACGAAGATGATAAAATACAACAAACAAATTTGAAACGAAAGCAAACTGAAGAGATTGATACCAAAGAATCTGATTTATAAGTTATCTTAGAATTGTTTTCTAATCTAAGAGCCAGCAGAGCTCAGTGAATAAGAGAGAATATGGGCTTTGAAATCAGGCAGACCAAGATTGGAGTACGACTTCCTCCCAATGATGACATCTTGTGTCTCAGTTTCCTCACCATAAAATGGAGATAATAACAGTACCTATTAGGGTTGTTAAGAAGATCCACTTAGATGATGCATCTAAGGCACTTATCATGGTACCTGGCACATGTTAAGCATTCACCAGGATTAGCCATTGCCATCAGCATCATCAGCATCATCAAACCTAACTTACCCTTTCAGCATACACTTCTGAATCAATGATCCTTCCTCTTCATTGTCTGTCAACAGCATAAGCCAGGCACAGTGCTGAATACCAAGAGTGTTAGGACTTAGGACCCTCCCTTCAAGGACTTGGCATTTAGATGGAATACAGGACAGATTTGCTGTACACCAGAAAATGCAGACTATATTTGACATGGTGCTCTAGAATCACCTGGGTGAGAGTTAAAAATGCATATCCTGGCCCCTCTCCTAGAGTGCAGTGAGTCCAGTGTGTGGGACCCAAGCATCTGCATTTTTGACAAGTGGCCCAGGTAATCCTGTTGCAGATAATTCTTCATCAGACAACTCGTAATATGAAGGTAATTCTATGCAACGTATATCTATGTACAGGGATGATATTAAGATATTTAACAACCAATATGGTGTGGGCTATTGACCAGTCCAAGTGGAGACCTTAATGTGGGGGTTAGGAGTCCTGGAGTCCCACTGCTGGTATTAACTCCTTAGCTGCTAGAATGTGAGGAGGGGGAGGGGAAGGTGCAAGGGAGACTGGGGCAGCAAGGGGCACTCAAGGAGCTCAGGACAGCAGCTGTTCACCAACCAGCATGAAAGTATTTCATTATTTAATAACTGTCAGAGCATCAGCCTTCTCACTCTTAATCTGAATGTACCTATGTAGGTGTATGTGCATGTAATCCCTACACTCCTTGGATTCTTAAATCACGTCATATTATTTGCATCATTTTCTCTTTCCATTTCTATCTCTAATAGATGTCATTATTAAAAATAAGTAAACTAATACTAATAAAATCAACATGTATTTCACATGGCCCTAATATTAGGGACATTTTTAAAAACTACAGTATTCTCCTTGAGGTTCTGCGAAGAGCGCTGTCCCCGTCCTCTGTTCACTTTTAGCCAGTTATCGTTTCCCAGGTGGAAGCCTGGGTTTAGAGGTGCTCAGGGCTTTTCACTCCCCAGACTATCTATTTGTTCAGCTTCCTACAGCTCAGAAGCTTCCTTCGCTTGACAGCCTGCCAGATTCCAGCTCTCCTGACCTTTACCACAACCAGCAGAGAGCATTTTTATTTGTGCAGTGCTAAATTACAGTTCCCGTTTTCTTCCTTTCTTGTCACTTTTGGTTCCTGGTGGCCAACATAACCCAAAATGATATGTCAGAGACTGAAATCTGAACAAGCTGATAGCTCTTTCCATGCGATCAACAACCCTGGATAGGATGCAGAAGAGTGAGTGGAATAAAGCAAATATCCATCTTTCTGTATCTCATCTTTCTTACGTGGAAGTTTTTTAGTATCTCAATGCAAAATGATGTTTTTTAAAAAAAATTTTTTTGATTGTAAGTGAGCAAAATTTAAATTTAGTACTAAACACATGCACAAACACACTAGCAGTGAGGGATGTGATAAAATATCTGTGACTATAGATCTTCGGGAACAACAATGATACATAGGAATCTCTCTGGATTTGTTCAGAGGCAATTCTGAGTCATGCTAGGTCCCTCCTGGTTGTGTATGTTACACAGCTGGAGAGTCATGATTAGTTAGTTTGAGATATTTTTAGGATACCAACCTCTGGAATGATCTGATTGCCCTTGAACCTTATTCAGCTGCTACTATTTTTATCAGTAACTTGAATGATACAACAAAGCCGATTGGTACCAATATAGGTGTATGATTGCCAACCTCACCTGAGCCTCCAACATTGGTCAGCAATGCTATTATGTCTGTCTTATGCTTTATGCTCTCTCACTCCTCACAAGGACCATACCAACCTCTCTATTCTCCTCTAACGTCTAACTCTATTTTCCATTCTCATTCCCAACTGTCATCAGAAGACCTCAATTCCTACCTCATAATGTAAACAGGATCCATCAGAGGGGAAGTTTTGACAACTTTTTGCTCCCTCTCCTTTAAGTCTACCTGGGTCTGGACCCATCTTTTTTCCCTCCATCCTGTACAATGGCACTCCTCCTCCTACCTAGGGCAAATCTCCCCACCTGGACTCTGGAGCCTCCTGTCCAGCCTTCTCCAACCTCTATCTCAGCGGTACTCAAAGTGTGGTCCCCATTTCAGCAGTGTTAGCATTCCCTCCAAGCTTGCTAGAAATGCAAATTGTTAGTCACACAAAAACAACTATATCAGAAATCCTAGAAATGTGGTCCTGCAATCTGTTTTAACAAGCCTTCTAGGCGATTCCAGCGCACACCACTCTACTAGGTCCTTCTCATTAGCGGTTAAACCTGCCCAAGTCTTAAAATAACACCTTAAAAATAATACATCTCTTTATCCCCACTTCTGCCTCCTGAAAATACCTATCCCTCTCATCCACTACATAGACAGACTTCTCAAAAGAATTGTCTATACTTCCTCACCTTGCTTTCATTCCTCAGTGCACTGTCTCTTCTTGATTCTGTGATGATGTGTGTCTGACCTCCATTTCCACAAACAATTCATTCATTCATTTCCACAAATATGCATTGAGCACCTGTTATATGCCAAGCACTTTGCTGGCTGCTGGGATTATAACCATGAATGTGAAACATGAAAGTCATAGTGCCTGCCCTGATGAAGTTCACATTCAAGTATAATACCCAAATTGATTTAGAATTACAATTTTTGATAGATGCTACTTAAAAAAAACAAAAATGGTGTTATAAGTGAGAAATCAAATGTAAATTTGAGAGTCAAGGAAAATTTTACTGAGGAAGTTGCATTTAAACTCTAGCCCAAGAAATGAATGGGAGTTATTAAGATGGAAATTAGGGGGATGAGATGTCCGTCGAGAGGTGCATGGTGCAGCAGTGTACCAAGGAGGCAAGGGGAAGAAGCCATGGGAGTGGTCAGCACTGGTACAGGCAATAAAGGAAGTATATTGTTTAAACAGAACTAAAAAATAATAAAACCAACTAAAGGTCATTCTGCTTTTGATTGACCATGCACATGCACTGGCAATTCTAAACAAAGTCCATGATAAAATACTCCCACCTGTCCAGGTTGACTGCTCCCCACCCCCACCCCCAGCATGCCACTGGCCAAATGTCTGAAGGCTTTGAGGAGGGAAGGGGTTTTACTGTCTAGGGAAGAGGATGTGGCAAGAGGACCATGAGTGAGGGAGAGGAACAAGACATTCTGGAAAGGTAGGCAGAGGCCAGCTCACACAGAGGCAAGATAATTCAGGATGTCCTAGAGGTAAGAATTTACCTAATTTCAAGAGTAAAAGAAATCCATAAAGCAGTCTTAAGCAGGGGAATGATAATGATTTAAAAAATTTTTAAGGATCATTCTGGCTCCTTATGGTAAATGGCTTGGAAGGGAGCAAGAAGGAAATCCTAGAGCTCAGTTATAAGGCTACAACAAGAGTCTGGGCCAGAGATAGTGGTGACTTGGGTTAGGTGGCAACAAGCAGATTGGAGAAAAATGGATGTATTGAAAATCTAATTTGGAGACAGACCAAACAGGACCTGGTTGTCAGGAACTCAGCTGAGCTGGAGAGAGAGAGCTAAGCTGTCAGGTGTCTGAGTAGCTAATTAAAGCAATAAGCCAAAAATGAAAGAGTGAAGGCTTTAATCACTTACCATGATGGCATAAGCAAGAGCCTAAAAACTGGAGGGAGCACCGACTCCCCCGGTTCCATTTTTCCTTATGGAATGGCACACGGGTCAAGGGTCAGGCAGATCAGCATAGACTATTGAGAGAGCCTTGAACAAAAGACTCTTCAGTTTTATGGACTCTGAGGTTGAGGGTGAAGTGAGGGGAAGGAGTGGGAGTAGAAAAGTACAGGGTACTGAGTCAGAGTGGGGAA